CTTTCCTTTCCTTTCCTTTCCTTTCCTTTCCTTTCCTTTCCTTTTCTTTTCTTTTCTTTTCCTTTCCTTTCCTTTCCTCCTCCTTCCCGCGAATTCACTTGCGGACGTTCCTGCCCCGCTTCCTTCCCGACGCGGGAAAAGACTCCGAGAGCAGCGGCCGGACAGCTCAGGCGCGCGCGAAAGGCGGACGTGCGCGCTCCAAGCGGCGGCGAATGAATGAAGGCGCCCGCTGCTCGGGCGGACGGAGTTTCTTTCGCCTGCCGCCAGCCGCGGCTCCTCCCAGGCTCGGAACGGGGGCGGGCGCGCCTTGCCCAGCCCACCGGCCTCTCCGGAATCCGAGTAGAGGCGCTCAAATGCTATGCCGTAGCAGGGGAGCCAATCCAGAGCCGCGCCTCTGAAAACACCCTCGCCTTTCCCCCTCCGACTCCGACTCCGGGCTGGGCGGCTGGCGATGCTCCCCTCCCCTCCCCTCCCCTCCCCAGGCAGCCCTGCCCGACGAAGCGGGCTGCGCAAAACGACTTCTTCTTTCCGTCTGCACGCGCCGTACGCTCAAACCCAAATAACGCAGCCTGCTCTGAGATACTGTGTTTGCGCTCAAGCAATTAAGATTTTCACCCGAGGCGAATAAACTAACCCAATGTTTCTCAGCCTTGACAACTTGAAGAGGTGTGGACTTCAACTCCCAGCATTCCCCAGCCAGCATGGGCTGGGGTGCATTCGTTCATTCTTAAAGTTGCCAAAGTGGAGAAACGCGTGGACAGAGAGAGCCAGTCGACCGTTGTCTGCTGGTAACCTCATGAAAACTAAGGGGAATAGACAGTTAAAGTGCTGGCAAATCTCTGTTAACAAATATGGAACAAGGTTGTGGCCTAGACTGATATATGTACCTATTCTGACAAGGCAAGACAATGTACAAATGGCCAAACTGCGTTAATCCCTCAAATAAATGACTTTTCCTGAAGATCTCTCAAACAAGAGCCATGCTCTGAAGAAATGTTAGAGAACAGAAATGCCATAGGAGTGGGCCGGTTTTAGACAAGCAAACCGGACCTTCTTTTTGGATAGAGTAACCAGTGTGGAGGGCCAGGGGAAAGCAGGGGACATTGCATACCCTGATTTCAGCAAAGCGTTCAGTATAATGCTCAGTGTAGTGGCCTGTGAGATCCTAGCAAAATGTGGACTGAATTATGCTACCACTAAATTGTTACAGAGCTGGTTGGACAATTGTACTCATCAGCGGCTCTGTGTCAAGCTGGAAGGAAGTGTTCCTTGTAAGAGTCGAGCCTTTTGCCGTTCCAATGTATTTATAACTGACTTGAATGAGGAACTAGAAAATATGCTTATGAGATTTTCAGGGAGCAGAAAAACAGTGAGAGTAGACACCTTGGAGGACAACTGTCAAGATTGCGGAGCATCTTGACAAGCTGGAACATTGGACAGACCCTACCAAGGTGAAATTCAGCAAGGACAATGCAAAGTCCTACATTTGGGTAGGAAAAATCAAATGCATCAGTACAGATGGGGGTGGACCAAATTGGACACCAATCTGTGGAGTAGGGATCTGGCTGTCTTTCCTGGTTCACCAGCTGAACCTAAGCCAACAGGATGATTAACTGACAAAATAGGAATGCAGTCCTTGGCTGTGTTAATAGAAGTATAGTTTCAAGATCAAGAGAGTCACTATCTTCTCTATTCTGCAGTAGTCCAGCCACATCTAGAATTTTGCATCCAGTTCTAGGCACCTCATTTTTGTAAAAACATTGACAAACTGGAGCATATCCAGAGGAAAGCAATCAAAATTATAAGGCACATGGAAGGCAAAACCTTATGAGGAACAGTTGGAGACTCTGATTACGTTTAGTCTGGAGAAGAGAAGACTACCGGGGGGGGGTGTGATCACTGTCTTCAAGTATCTGAAGGGTGTCCTGTAGAAGAGTAGAATTGTTCAGAATCATTCCAGAAGGCAGGACAAGAAATAAGGGGTTTAAATGACAAGGTATGACTGGACTTCAGGAAAAAATAGTTGATGGTAAGAGTGGTGCAATGCTGGAACACTCTGTCTCAGGAGGTGGTGGTGTTTGGATAGAGGCTGGCCGCTGTGGCCCTGGATTCCTACTCTAGGTAAGGAGTTTGATTAGGTGACCTATAAGGTCACCTTTAATTCATTATATTCCAAGATTTGAAGGCAGAATTCAAGATCTGTGATGGAATGGAATTATGAAGGCCAGGCTCAGGGAGATAAACGTTTTCTTAGTTCACCGAAAGAGCATGGGAACTACAAGAGGACGAGGCTGGCAGCTCCCTGAGGAATTCATGGTGTTGTGGCTAGCTGGTTTGGGAGCGGGGGTTTCAGTCTGGGAAGATTCTTGCTAGAGGTTATAGCTAATAAACATAGCTGAACTGATTTTGCATTTTCTCTTGGAGTTCCTTGGGCTAAACCTGACAAGATCAGAGCTAATGTAAGATGACAAGAGCAAGAAAATAGATTTTCCTTTGCTTCATTGACCACAGCAAGGCCTTTGATTGTGTACATCAGTGTTTCTCAACCTTGGCAACTTTAAGATGTGTGGATGTCAATTCTCAGAATTCTCCAGCCCCCCCCTGTGGGCGGGGAGGGACGGGTAATGTCGGTCTGCACCCATTATACTTCTGCAGTCGTGGAAAAGAGAG